TGGTTACTTTTTTCAAAGATGAGGACCATTACAGCTGCGCTGCTGATCAGCTCTGTTTATACAACATGAACGGACTCGCAGGAACCTGGTCTGTGTTGGTGATTCTAAATTATTGATAAGGTAACCATGATGTGGCTTCACCTGCCGCGTTTTATTTTAAAGAAACAAAAAGTAGCTTACAAAGCTGTCGCGTCGGTGCTACGTGATTAGAAGCAGAGTTTTCATTGCACTCACACACACTTCTTCCTATCTTTGTGAGGACCACACACAGCGCTCAGTCTCGCTCTGCGCCGTCTTTTTCCCCAAGTTTAAAAATTAAACCAAGATTTAGAATAATTATGATTTTGATCCATACATTGGTAACGTCTGACTGGACCTCATGTCTCTTTATGTTCAATAAATTGGGCCCCGAGGTGGAAAAGGTTAAGAAGCCCTGCTGTAGAGCTCCATAGAGTTCAATGTTTTGTTAGAGCTGGAAAGTAGAGACTTGATCCAAGTCCCTTAGCTTCTCTTTAGATGATGCTAGAAAAATCTCCTTTTCTTGCTTTTGTAGCGCAGGTTCCCCTGGCATAGAGCGAACTGCAGGCCTTTACAAAACCTTTCACTGTCAGTCCTCACAGCTGGAAACCTTTGATCAAATCAGTGTTTTTAAAGGAACTGTAGTCGATTGACAAAATGTAAACAACTGACAGTGAAACAGGTCAACAGTACCAGTTTGGGTGAGGATGTAAAATCAGACCCTCAGTGTCATTCTGCCTCTGACTGTCTGTGGATGCTCTGACCTGACAGTTAGTGGTACACACTGTGTGTAACTGAGGTGCTGTGCTGCAGATCCAGGAGCAACGAGAACGCAGGTGTCAGGAGAGGGAGGAGAGGCAGCGCCACGAGGCCCAGCTCCAGGCCCACATGCAGAACCACCAGCCCTGGGGCCGAGGTGGAGGAGGAGCTCCTCTGAGGGACAGCACGGGGAATCTCCTGGGTGGGCTCTCTTCTTGTTTTGATTCTCTTCATGTGGAAACAGTAAAATCAGAGTGGATGTATAAAGACTGTAACCTGTGTGTCAGCTGACCTGAAGCAGATGCACAAACAGAACCAGGAGGCTTACAGCAACCCAGAGGTGTGGCAGAGGAGAGCTTCAGCTGCCAGGACAGACCGCCCAGCAGAGCTGCTGGACCCCACTGAGGAGGGCTGTGCTTCTGTCCCAGAGTCCAGCAGGCACAGTGTCACAGACAGGACCCCTGGTACTGTCAGTCTGACACACATCTCATCTGTTTAATACATGCAGTTTAAAATATCAAGACCACTGAGACATGGAACAGTTAGTTTACTGAACCCACAGGAAACTCTACATTTGAACTCTTTATTTTGTCAAACTTGTAGTTTTCCTCTGATTGCAGGTTTCACTCATGTCCAGACGCCACAGTTTGCCAGAGGCAAAGTGTTTTCCAGCCAAGCCACAGARCATCAGCTGCAGGAGCAGGACAAATACAAAGCTTACCTCAGACAGCAGGTATGCTTTCACAATCTGACTCTTAGCATAATCCACAGAGTCATCACACATGTTGTAAATAAACTATGGTAAACACCTGGAGCAGCTTCTCCTCTCTAATCCAGGACAGAAACATGGTTTTTAGTTTCAGCCTTGTGGGTCATTTTCAGGCTTTGTACAGGTGCTTCAGTTTGGAAAGTGCTTGATATTCTAACTGCACAGTTTTATAATAAAGAGCCTTTTAAATGTTTGRTTAAAAACCTCATTTTGCCTTAAGTGAATCTCAGTCAAACTAAAGCGGAGCTGCCCTTCAGAGTATCTRTGCTACTGTTCACAACACCAGAGTGTGAGCAGTAGACATGACCTGATGGAAGACCAGCTGCAGGACCAGTGGTGTCCTCTGGTCCTGCAGCACAGCTGCTTTCAGCACGTACACATGTCAACAAAACTGTTGGTGCCCTCGTTTAGTGACTGAAAAACACACAGTGTTCACAGAAAGAACTTCAAGCTGATGAAAGTCATGATAAATAAAAATTATATGAAAATTAACCAATGAAAGTCAGACATTACTTTTTAAACATCCTTCAACAGTATTTAAAT